GAATTAATATCTTGCGAAGCACCTCTCAGCTCGTGCCACCTTGATCTTGGTCGTTTGGAGGGCTGGAATACAAGAAGGACATGTCGTCTAGCAAACGAGGTCCGTAAATGTTGTCCATCTGTTGCCTTCCTAATCTATGTAACGATTCTGTAATAGGGGAGTGATGCTTGGAACTCTGATATAGCAGTCAGGTACCATTGCTCCAAGTATGCTGTGCGCAGATCGGCACTCATGTTCCTCCAACTGGCAATCCTGATGCGAGTAACCCTCATGATGGCTCTGCAGTCCGAGTCAGCATTCAGGACGGGCCCCCTTGCTCCCTCTAGTTGTCACCATCTCTAGTGTTGGCAGCGATTTTGCAGTCCTTCAGCTAAGCACAGCATGCTCGTGATGGTGTTGGGTCCAAGGCTTCAGGGGGTGCTTCCGCATGCCTCCTTTGTCGACATCCGGCCGCGGAAGAGGGCTGCCGCAGTCAGATAGCGTCCGTGGCGGGGGTCCGCGGCACACATCCTGAGATGTCACAGAGGTGTGGTCTTCAGGAAAGGAAGAATAAGAGGAGCTCAGATGAGCTCAGATGTTGCCTCAGGAGGAAAGGCAAAGGACAACACAAAAATACACTTCCTGGCCAGGGGGCATGTTTTTGGCGTCGAACATCTGCTGGGTCAACTCAGGAACCTGTACGGATTCTCTGACTAGCCGCGCTTTGCTAAGGTCTGCAACTTTTGGCCCAGTGGCTGTCAGGGCCCGGTACTGCTGCGATCCACGGGAGGTCAACGGGGCAAAGCCTGTCATGAAGAAGTGCAGGCCTCAGAGAGGGATCGGATTTCGGGTACGGCGCTCTTCGACTTCTTGCAAGAACCGACTTGGGACAATTTCAGTGCAGCTGCGCGGGAAGGGCACCAGGTTCACAGCGATCTTGCGCAGGTCGCAGTTCAGCCTTGGCTTCCGAAGCCACTCTGCTGTGAACAGCGGCTGCTGAATACTTTAGACTGGAGACTATCACGGACCGCTCACCGAACCCACAGATTCAGACTCCAAACGTGGAGTGCGAACAACACGCCTCGGCTGGACAGGCTAGCGGCTGACCGGGGAAGCGCAAGCAGCAGGTCACACCGCTCATAGCAGCAGAGACCAAGTGATTCAAATCGCCGTAAGTTGGCGTCGTCAGCTTCCTCGGCAAGAAGCCACGAGTTGGGCAAGACGTGTAGAGTTCGTTCTCTCTCTCGGGACAAGACTGTCGACGAGCGACTCGAAATCTTCAAGCACGTCTATGCAGACCAATGCTCGTGAATCGCTACCTATATATACTGGTTCCGTTTGGCTAACCTCTTGCAGTTCCTAGAGGTCCAAAGTTCCCAAAGAACTCAAACACCCCGGGCCCTGAAGTCTGAAACTGCCCACAGCCAGGTCATGCCAGGTCGCAACGTTCGGAAGCAAATATCGTAGAGCGCTTCGTTGTCCTGACTTGTCTGAAGCATCTGAAAGATTACGCCTACGTATCTATGCCATCTCAAGATCCAGAAGTCATATCATCATGTTGTATTGTAGTCTTTCAACAATTGTTAGCTTTAAGTGGGCAGGCGGCCAGCAAGAAGGACTCATCGGAGTTCTCCACAAGCTGGTGAAAGCTCAGGACGGCATTGTACGGCTCGACCACCGTGTCAGAGACCTTGGGCGACGGGATCACCGAGAAGGTCTCCATGATGCGGTCCGGGTACCTTGGATTGGACTTCGGCCCAACACCCTGGCTACAGAGGTCGCAGGGGTTTTTCAAAGGTTTGTAGAAAGTAACTACCGCGGTTTCTGGATCGCAATTTAAGATGCCCTGAACACTGACAGCATCTCTGCTCAAGATTCCGTTGCGGTTGGAGTTGCAAAATCGTGGGGTTCTGGTTGCTGTTGTGTCGTTGTCGTTATCAATTCCTTCTAGTACTTGCGCTGGTCGCGTTTGCGCAACAAACGAAACTGAACTGCAATCCAGGCACTCCTCACGCACCTGGTGATTCGCGGGCTGAGGCACAGAGCATCTTGTGAAGCTGAGAATCTGATTTTCAATTCAAGCTGATACTTAGCACCAGAAGCCTTTAAAGTTCGTCTGATTAGCAGTGTTGAGGCTGGTCGAGGCTTTGTAAGGCTTCAGATTGTCCCGGAAGACGTGAAAACCGAAATCCCGCCTAAACCGACGGTCACCGGACCTGCTGTCTAAACCCCGTCGGACCTCTTTGCTCTAAACTCTAAAGTTCCCGCCTTGGAGATGAGCAGAGTGCCCATGCCAGCTCCGGTGCCGCCACCGAGGGAGTGGCAGAGCTGAAAGCCCTGGAGGCAGTCGCAGCCTGCGCAGATCCATGGCCCTCACGTGGCTGAGGTTCCCTGTGAGCGCTGCTATTTCATCTTGTCTGATACTACGTACTTGAAGGTGAAAAGGGCCTTGCTCCTCACACCTCAACCAACCCGCAACCCGATGCTCCCGTCGTAGTGTGGCATCTGCCGCCTTCCGCCTCCTTGCGGACCACGTCGAGCACAGAGTCAATCAGCTCAGCACCCTCAGCTCTCTTTGTGTCTGTGGGTCAGGCAGTGGTGCAAAGATCCATTGAAGGAAGGAGGCTGCAGCGGCTGAGACAGGATATCTGAAGCGATGATTCCATTTCGTGTTGATCTGAGCCCCTGGCCTCGGTGTAGTGGCCTCAATCTACCCCGAAACGATCAAGATTCGCCCGTGCCAGCAGCATCAGCTACCGGGCATCCGACCCTTGGCCCAGTTGTTGCCGGCTCCTAGCAGGAAGACATGTGAATTTCGTCAGATCGTACACCACATGCTGCTGCGTGCCGTCCTGTCTGTCCAAACACGAAGTTGTCGGGACGGAAGAGCTGACCAAAAGGCCCGGCTCGCACGGAGTCCATGGTTCCTTGCATGTAAAGCTGATGCTGCTGCGGACATAACCCGCGGGGCTGAGGTGGATAGCACAACGAAACGCACGAAGGGGCCTGGCTCAAGATCCATCAGGACTGCTCGAGGAACGTAGCGTCCTCCTGTCGCCTCGTTGAAGTACACCTGTGTGAGTGGACAATGTCGGGAAGTCACGTGCTGCGTGTGCACTTACCGCTATCTTACAACAAACAGTTGGATTACATTGGAGTCTTGATTTTCAACGGACAGGCTATTCTGCCACATCGGAACTTCGCCAATTCAAGGGGCTTGTTTTCAGGGTTTCAATATGCCGAAGTCACATTGATGCGCTCCAGCTGCAGGTCCGAATCTCCATGGTAGGTGCCTGCATGACTGACTCTCATCTGTTGATGCAAGGGCTCCTCTTCGGGAAGAGACCCTAAACCCCTAAACCCGAAACCGTGGTCTTTTCTCAGGGTTTAGGGTTTCAGGGAGTTGGGGTCTCAGATTGAACCCTCAAGCCGCGCTGGATCCCTCCGGTTGGTAGAATGCTTCCTAGCAAAAATGGCCTAAGACTTAGCGGTGGTTTAAACCTGCCGAAAGAGGCACACTTCGTTGTAAGGCAAACAATAGCCGCCAACCTCCCAGACTTCAGGGAAGGGACTAACTTATTGCGCGCCTGTGGGGTCGATGCCATGCTCGTCGGCAATCACCTGCGGTTTTTCGGGAGGGAGGATGGAATTTGTCTGGGTCGCCGGTTGCCATTGCACTTCGAGGCACTCTTTAAAAGCTAACATGTGTGAGGACCTGGACCCGATTTTGTGCTGCAAGCCGTCCTGCACGAGGTAGGCACAAACAAAGCTAGAAAGCAGGCACAGCCGACAGAATTTGGAACACTCCGCAGTGGTTCAGGTGTTGAGCGGAGGGGTTCGAGAACGTCAGAAAAGTCAGTCTCACCAGCCACTATCTCTCGTGGTATTCGTAATCCACTCTCTCGGATGTATGCCTTCTGAAAGGGTCACGCGGCAACACACACACACACACACGGAGAGAGCACACTGAACCTGTCTGAGCACGTACGAAGCCCACGTGCTCCATCCTGAGGGTGACTGCAGCTTCTACGAACCTCAAGAACTCGGTACTAAATGCCGCCACCCTCCTGATCTCTGGGAAGCCTGGAGGCCGAAAAAGTAGAAATGGCCAGAACTCGGAAGGATAATGGTGTATGAAAGACGAACCGATAAATGAGGATCTTCCGGAGCCTCCCAGAACTTGGCACCGATCTGGTTGCCGCCTGCAGGAATGCAAAGCCCATTTGTAACAATCCCAAAGACATGCCTGATCTGGGAAAGCAAGGGCTTCATAAGACTCGGGGCCTTGGGATTAACAAGGCAAAACACCTCTTAGTCTTCCCTGCAGCCGTTAAAGTTGCATGTCAAGACGCACTGGCCACCCTGGACGTGCACGAGCTCACGCATGGCGACAGGAAGGAGGCGACGGACGTCTGGGAGGTTGCTTGAGCCTCTTCGGAGGAGCTCGCGGACACGGAATCCCTCATCGGCGCTAGACTCTCGGGCCCAGTATCATCCGCAGTCGCAGTGAACGGGGGGAGGGGGTCCGGCTCTAAAGGCTTTCACAGAAGATGTCGCAAATGAGAGACACACACACACACATGTACGTTTGCAGTTCGAGCTTGTCTTGTACATAGTCTTACGCAGCCTCAAGAGTGTAGGTTGCATTATGTTTCATTCTTCAGCTGCCTATACTGAACTGAGACCCTGGCCAAAATTGTGATTTCAGCGGGTTCTTACGGATTACAGTAACCAAAAATTAAGAAGCACTTCTAAGTGCCCCGAAGCTACCCTACTACATGAGAGTGTCAAGGCGACCTTTGAAGTCGCGGTCGTGACCGGACCTGCTTTTAGCCATCGTCCCACCAACTGCGCAAGTTGTTACGACTTCAGGCCAGACGTGCCCTCAAGGTGTTCTTGAAAGCGTGCAAGGGGATGAATTCCCCCGGCTGCGTCCCCTTCAAGCATGTGGGCGAAGCCAGGGTCATCACAGCTCTGAAAAGCTTTGCGAGCAGGGGCTCTGCGACGCTTCGGAATCACACTTAGCCGTCGTACTCGCCCTCCTCCTCATCGAACTCACCTGCAAGACTCTGTGTGCGCGTGCGTGCGCGCAAATGTTTTGTCAGATGGCCATTCGAAACGTCCCACTCCCATTGCCGACAGCCGCACTGGTTCGGCATGCCCGCCCCCGCCTTCCTCCTCGGCGGTAGCGTCCTGCCGCGAGAACCATGAGACTTCAAACGGACCATGTGCGGGTGTTCGGGTGTGCCTGGTACTGCTGGTACTCCGACACCAGGTCGTTCATGTTCGACTCTGCCTCGGTAAACTCCATCTCATCCATGCCTCAACAGGGGATGGGATGTGCTCAACGTTTGCAGTGCGCTCGGGTTGCCCATCGACTCAAAATGCAAGGAGCCTTCACCGGTGTACCAATGCAAGAAGGCTTTGCGGCGGAACATGGCCGTGAAGTACTCGGCCACCCTGCACCGTCATTCTGAGAGAGGTTCTCTGGACGTTCTCGAGGATCTCACTACAGAGCTTCTAGATCCTTCTAAACTCTTGACTGCACGTCCGGGCTCCGTTTGTGGGGTTCACGGAATCAGCCTGGGCTGTAGGCATCTGTAGGCAACATACTTCCCTACTCTGTGATCGACAGGATCTGTTTTGCTCCGGAGCAAACGGAGGAGCCTCTTGAACATCTCCTGGATGGCGGTCGAATTACCCGCAAAGGCGACAGCCATCTTGAGACCTGCAGCCATCGAAAACGAAACAAGGAAAGTCCCGGAATGCATTTCTTCGGTTCATATCCGAAGATCACACGTCTTGCTGGGTGCTTTAGGACAGTCAGTCCGCCATTTGCAGCAGGGCGTCCTTTTGGAGGGATATCGCAAACGGACGCCTTGATGTTGTTGGGGATCCACTCCTTTGCCGGATTCAGAGCATGTGCACGACGGACCATGCGAACAAATGCCACAAGACAGTACCACAACCCGGACGAGACTCCACGAAATAGGAGGAGTTCTTGTTTTGGACGTTGAGCATCTGCTCATCCACCTGCAGGACGTACCAGGAAGCGTTGGGGCTTTTGGGGCTTAGGGTTTAAGGGTTTAGGTTTTGCATCAGGGCTCCCTTCAAGGCCAACAGTCTTCCATGACAGCCAGAGAATGGAAGCCTTCAAGGTATGATGTACTGGTATAAATCAGAGAGTCTGCTGGAGTCAGCGAGACAAGAACCATCAGTTCGGAGATGGGCCTTTGCATTGGGGTGCAATTTCGACGAAACAGGAACTCGACCTTGAAACGACCCGCCTGTACCACCTACCCCCAAACTCTTCAACCTGAGATGTTAAGCCCTGAAGGTACGACAGCTGGCCAGGTACTGCAGTCTGACTACAAGACATAGCTGCCTCTTCTCGGGATCTTTTGTGGAGTTCGGTTAGGGTGGACTTCCATCCGCTGAGGTCACCATGCTACGCCTTTGCAAGTGATTTCCGCAGTGTGCCCGATGCATGCCTTCAGCTCTCCCGCCTGCTTTGCTGATCGCTGCTCCACTACAGGTTTATCCATGACATCCGGGCTTGCCTATCTTAGGAATCACAGGGCGGCAAGATAAGTCGTGAGTAAAATCCCTGGGCAGTATAAGTACGGCTCTGCTTCTCCATGCCTCCTTCGTGGACATGCGGCCACGGAAAAGGGCTGCAGCAGTCAGGTAGCGGCCGTGGCGCGGGTCCGCAGCACACATCCTGACACATGCGAGGAGCGAATCGGGGCGACACGGGGCAGACTCCTGGAACCTTCGAGGTTGAGCACCCGCAAGCTGTGTTTCTCCCCAGAGGGGGCTCCCACTCTCAAACTTCTCAACCCCGAACCCGCGGCTTGCCAAGAGGCATGTTTTTTGCGTCGAACATTTGCTGGGTCAGCTCGGGTACCTGGTCGCGGGGATGTTGTTTGAGAGAGGGAGAGAGAGCGGAGCCCTTTTTCTGGAGACCCTTTTGGTGTCAGGAGATGGGATCGGAATAGGACTCATACCATGCACATAATTTTCATATTTTCCATGCAGTGAATGCAGTGGAATGTAGTGGAACCCTGAAGATAATAAGACCAATTAATGGATAAAACTTTACAGTGCTTGGTCTGCTACCTTCCCTCATCTTGTCTTATCCTTATACGAGCTTGGACTACCACTGAAACCTCCACGGCCACACCAGGGACTTCGGCCCGAATCCGAGTCGGGGACGGTCAGGGCCCGGTACTGCTGCGACCCGCGGGAGGTCAGCGGGGCGAAGCCCGTCATGAAGAAGTGCAGGCCTGGAGTCTCTCAAAGGCCGGAGCCGGGGCTTTCTGGCACAGCACAGCACAAACGACTGGGCAAGGAGTCGGATTTGCATTCCAGGTCACGCGGGAAAGGCACCAGGTTGACGGCAATCTTGCGCAGATCACAGTTCAACCTGGGTGCCGGCCACATAGACACATTAACCAACATAACACCTCGCCTTTGGTCCGGTGCCTCAGACTTAAAAATGCTAATGTGGGGGAGTCTGGGTTTTAGTGGCCAAGCAGCTGTCCTGGGAAGCGCAAGCAGCAGGTCACACCGCTCATCGCCGCGGAGACCAAGTGGTTCAGGTCACCGTACGTTGGCGTCGTCAGCTTCCTGAGCACTCCCACTGCAGAAGCCAACATGTGGCAACTGCACACTATGGCAGGCTACGTGCAATCCGCTACTTGCGTGCACTGCATAGAGACATTGATGGACAAATAGATTAAATACCTAGAAAGATAGATAGCTAGCTAGATAGATAGGTAAATAGATAGACAGCCAGAAAATAAATCGATCCTTGATGGATGCATAGCTGGCTAGATGCCTAGCCTAGATGGCTAGACAGACAGACAGAAAAAACAGACAGACAGACAGGCAGACAGAGAGAGACAGACAGACGGACAGACAGAGACAGAGACAGAGACAGAGACAGACAAACAGATGACACGCAGATACTTAGATAGATGTATGGCTACATGGAGAGATAGGTGGATGGATGGATGGGTAGATAGGTAGGTAGATGAATCGGCAGGCATGGCGGGCGGGTGGGGTGTGTGGGTGGGTCGATAGGCGGGTGGGTCGATAGGTAGGTAGGTAGGTAGGTGGGTGGGTGGGTGGGTGGGTGGGTAGGGAGGCGGGGGGTGGGTGGGTGGGTGGCTGGCTGGCTGGCTGGGTGGTTGGGTAGTGGGTAGGTAGGTAGGTAGGTAGGTAGGTAGGTAGGTCGGTCGGTCGGTCGGTCGGTCGGACGGTGGGTCGGTGGGTCGGTCGGTCGGTCGGTCGGTCGGTCGGTCGGTAGGTAGGTAGGTAGGTAGGTAGGTAGGTAGGTAGGTAGGGTGGCGGGTAAGTAGATAGGAAAGTAGAGAGGTAGATACGAGCTCGACAGGTAGATAGATAGAGATATAGATAGAGATGAAGAGACAGACAGATATATAGCTAGGTAGGGTTGAATTGGATTTGGTTGGAGCAGCCCCCGTGCCCACTCCTACTACTCCTGGTCCTAAGCCGCATAGTGACTAAAGACTTGCACGCCGAAGTCGAGAAGTACTTAAATCTACAGCCGGAGCACAGTGTTCGGAAGATGGATGGATGGCAGCACTAAGCTCCGAAGAGCCTGGCTGATGAACTGCTTGTAGGGCTCCGCAAGCAAAAAGAAGAAGCAAAACTCGTAGCACAGCACGCCTTATTCGGGACGCTGCGAAAACCAAAACTGTAGTTGCGTCAGCACATCTTGTGTGGGACGCTGCTGCAAACCAGGGAAAACAGGTGTCAGAGAGGACGAACAAACGCCTCCCAAGTCCATTAACACTCCAGCGGCGAACGGGAAGCAAGACGGCCGCTGGTCCGCCCTGCCCACAGCCCGCGCGGCTAGCTCGAGCCAGTCAGTTTTTTCATCAATGCTCCACGGCGGTGAGGACAGTACGCTCTGACCTCCCACACCTTCTGCGGCACGTCCATTGTGTTAGTGGAAGCGCGCCCGGCTGGCTGATCGCGAAGAGAGAGGCCCGAAGGTTGTGGCCTTGCTCCGAGGAAACCAGTGTCATTTCATACGGAGATTGGTCGGCAGTTCGGCTCCCCGCAATCCGCAAAGTAATGTCACTGACCAGTTCCTCCGCTTTGCTCTTACGCACCTCTTCCACAAGCAAAGCCAAAGCCTCCTTCACCTCCGTCGCGGCCGTGAGAAGCGGCGGGGTGCTCGACATAGCTTCATGAATCGCACCCAAGAAAGCCTTCAAGCGAGCCGTCGTGCATGAGCAGCCATCCGGGTGTGGCTTGCCGGGCTCAGAGCTGTCCTTCCAAGCCTTGGCCGCTGCTTCCACTTTGTCGTGCAGCACCTTCGGCAAGAAAACAAAGATCACCAGCGCCGCCTTGAGCTTCTCCATCGCCGAGTCATTCGCGCCCAAGAGCTTGATCATCGTCGGCTCCTTGTTGTTTGCCTGCTGTCCGCGCTGACGCTTCTGAGGCGGCATGGTGAGCACAAGGCTGGCACACGGTGCTGACTACGGGCTCGGCCAAAAAAACTCAACCAGCACTGGAGCATATGAGACGCGAGCACAGGCTGTGCAAAGGCCGCCTCGCGCAGAGGTGCTACTGGCCCCTGCCCCTCCAAGACCCAGCCCCGCCAAGGGGTTCAGAGGGCCCTGGTCTCTCCATCAACAGGGATCGCAAGAGCATGCAGACTGTACGTGACATGTTACAAGAAAACACACCGTAGGCTTAACCGGCACCGCCGAGCAAAGCATGAGTGCCTCCCGGCTTGTTCGCTTTGGTTTTATGAATCTTCAGCGCTTTTTCTGTCTCATAGCGAAGGCCGCACCCACGGAACTCACATGCGTAGGGCCACTGTGAGCGCTCCTCATTGGAAACGCGCCGTTGCTGATGTCCTGCGTAGAACACCTTACCCGCCTGTTGACGGCGGATTTGCCGCGGTGCCAGCGGATCTGGCGGGGGGGCAGCATCTGCAGGCGGAGGCTGTAGTCTGGCTTGCGGGTGAGGAGCTGGTGGGTGCCCTGCACGACGCGCACGTTTTTGCTCAAGGCGCGCGGCGTGAGCCGCAGGAGACCGAGCACGCTGGCCCGCAGGCCGACTCCACTCGCACAGTCCAGGATTCGGAACCGTATCTTGATGATGGTGAGAGGTCTGTCTGTCTTCATACACTGCCTGTGCAAACCTACGGTTCAACAATGCCTTCCAGCCTCCATCTTTGTCAGCAGCCACCGTTTCCAGATCGTCCTCGCAGAAGCCATGCCGGCGACACAGCTGCACCCACAGTTCAGGCAGTGAACGTCGATCTGCCTGTATGCGGCCACCAGCGCTCGAAGGCAGTTTCTGAAAATCACCGTGCCACGAGCAAAAATCTTCGCATGTGTCTTCGAAGTGAGTGGTGTCATACGGGCCAAATGTCCCAGCCACCGCATCTGTTCACGCTCCATGGCAGCGGCCACTGGGGGAATGTGCAACAGGGCCCTCAGGTCACTATAGTTCACATGTTGGGCCTTCATTCTGGAGAGCCTTGTGCGACACACATAACGACATGCCGTGTCCATCACAGCTTGAAGTCTCCGCATGTCGCGCTGTCTTGTGGCACGAGACTTGCGAGAGAAGGCCAGTGAGCTGTAAACGTAAGTCATGAGCAGACGGCCGCGTGCACGATGTGAGAGACGAGCGCCCTTCAAGGCTGGCTTCAACTTGGCCCAGCATTTGAGCCCACGCAAGATGTTTCGAGAGACTGCTTCGCCGGGAGCAATGCCACCGCCAACCAAACAAATGCCGCTATCAGTGCCATACTGATGCCGTTCACGCTTGCCGTCATGTTCACTGGAGCCCCATAAAGCCACCGCTGCTGCGTAGGCGTCCATGCCGGACGGGCCGCGGTCATCAGCATCATGTAGTTCCCGGTGGTGACCATGAAGCGTAGTATCGTCGGCGAAAATAGTCATCTCCACTCTTGCCTCTTCGCATTGGCGACCATCGTTCTTTCGCGTCCACCCTGAGGAAAAAGACATGGCAGGCTGCCACCGCCAGGGAATGCCACACTGCAGGCCTCGTCGTTCAGCATTCTCGCGCCGTCGTTGACCTGCAAAACGGGCAACAGCACTGTACAGTACATTCCAGGCCCACGGCGACGTGCCGTCACCTTCACCAAAGCCACGAGTGGGGTGGTACGGCTCGCTCAAAGAGGCCGCGGACTGATCCGGACCCGTCTTGACGCGATATTGACGCAAGCAATGAAAACCATGTAGTGCGCGCGTGAAAGGCCCACGCGGGTTGATGCCATGGTGAGCAAGGAGGTACCAGAATGGGGTCTTGTTGGCTGTAGGGTAAGCCTTGCGCAGATCCATGAGCCCCGCTTCGTAGACCTCGCCCTCCCAGCCAAAAGTACGCCACGCGGCAATCTCTTCATCCAAACGTCGCACCATGAAGTGAGCCTCATCCGTGCCCAGTCCCCGCCGGAATCCGAAACTTTCAGGTAGAGGCAAGGCCGTCTGCTCAAACCATGCCTGGCCACGTGCATTACGAACCTAAGCCAAAACACGAGGGACAGACCAAAGCAAAACCACTCCTCGCCAGGTGTCCATAGATTGAAAAGGGGCCTTCTGCTTCCAAAGTGGGACCTGCAGGCCCGGACCGGCAAGCTCCTCGGCCGCCCAGTCCTCAGGAGGGGTGCAGAACAGTAACTCGATGAAACCGCGGATGTTCTTCGCTAGGGTCTCATCCGAAAAAAGAGTTCGAAGGACCACGGGCGGGAATTCATCTCCACCACTGACGCTCGGTTTGAGTTTGCGCACAGCGGTACGAACTTCATCGAAAGTGATGTCGGCATCCAAGTCCTGGGCAAGGGCTCGAGAGCTCTCGGCACTGGCAAGTCGTCAATGAAGGCCTGCACGCCTGGGTCAAGAAATTCCGGCTCAGCACTGATTCTCTCGAAATGGTCACGCCATTCGTTAGGCGCAAAGGGGTTTTGGCGAGCTTTCCGGCGCTGCCCGCCCTGCTGCACGGTGCGAAGTGTCTGAAAAACTGGAAGGAGTCGGCCTCCTGGTCGGGGTGTGAGGCCAAGACAACCTCCCAGTACTCCTTCTCCAGCTGCTGTTTCTTCAAAGTCCTGTGAGCCTCAACTGCTGCCGCAAGGCTTGTCGCAAGGCCCGCGTGCTCAGGCTGCCCCTGAAGCACTAGCCGCAGCCTATGCTTCTCGGCACGAAGGGCACGGCAGCGCTCGTTTAAAGCGCCAACTTCTGCCGAAGCACGTGCCGTGCGAAGCCATGGCTTACGGCACGAGCGCTGCATGGGACCACAAACTTCCATAGTACGCTCAGCAACCAACCGACGGAACTGGCCGAAATCGGTACAGCACCCTTCCGCCTTGTCGTCAACATCGGAGCGCACTTTCTCTGTCAATGTAGCTCTGGCTTCGCGGGCAGCGTCAGAGTTGCCACGGAGAGCTGAGAGGTCCGGTTTCGCAGCAACTTGTCGCGGCCTCCGAGGGCGAGCTTGTTCAAGGCGGAACATGTACTCTTTGGCGGAGTGCTGCGTAGCGAGGGGGGTAGTGTCACGCCTCAAGGTCATGCTGGCCAAGCGTGGTAGATGACGACGTGCCAGCAACATCCAATCAATCTCATAGAACTTTTTGTGAATGGCCGAATGCCATGTGCAACGGTGTCGATTACCTAATGCCGGCCTGTGCCTATCGGCTATCAGCATGCACCCAATCACCCATCGCAAGGACCCTGGAAAAAGCATACTCATCCAATTGATGGCGGTGTGGAGGCCGGTAGCGTCCTATGACACCCGAGCAAGGGCCCAAGTCATCATCGTCAGGCTCAAAGAGCTGCGCGTTGAAATCACCGGCTATGACATGTGGGGTGAGGGCATGCACTGCAGCGGACAAAGGCGACTGCGGTGTAAACGCCAAGGTGCCGGAAGCCGCGGTGCCAATTTCATCCCATAACCCCTCCAACTCCTCGTGAGCCGCCGTAGAGACTGGGGCCCACACCGCAGTGATCACCCACGGTGCCATCTGCTCACCCCTGGTGGCCATCGGGTCTCTCGGGAGGACAATGGACAAAACACGTCCAGAACCAGAGCGGTGCTTCGCAGCAGCATGTGTATGCCAAGCATGGCTCCAGTTAGGGCTCAACAGAACACCCACAGCACCTGTATGGATCAATTCCCATCCCTCCCACTTCCAATGACGACAAGTAGTGGTAGGACCCTGAGGCTGACGACGTGTCGTAGTGGGCGTGCACTCAGAGACTACTGTCACCTCCCAGTCCCTGCGGGCCGCCAGCCTCACCAAGCACTCCAGTTTTTCGGGATTGCTCTTTTCCATGTTCACCGCCCCAATGCGGACGTAGCCAGGTTGCGAGGCTACTTTCACGACAAGTATCAAATCTCTCTCTTCTGCAGCCGTACGCTCAATGCGCTGGTGGCGATTCCACATCATGCGGCGCTTGACTTGTCGAGCCTGGTGCATCTTCTGCAGCATGCGTCGTTGGTGTCTCTCCCTGCGCTTGCGATTGCGATCACTCTGAAAATGGAAATGTGCATCGGAAGAATAGGAAACATTGGAAACGCTGTGCAAAGCAATATTCTGCTGCTGCAAAGCTCGTGGTGACGTGGTAGAACATGCAAAGGAGCCACTGTAACTTCTGTGACAAAAGCTGCTCGAGTCGGGTGGGGACGCAGCTACAACCTCCACCCCAGTATTTGTACATAGTGTGGGTTCACATGGCACAGCACTGAAAGGTTCATGAGAAACCGTAGCGCTGGCAGGCTAGAAAAATGCACTGTGCGAGACGCCTGCGCCTTTGCCGGGCCTTCCGGTGACTTCAGTAGCGTCGGGCCCGTCCGCTGCACTGCCCACGAGGAGGACAGTGAACCATTAGCGCAGCAGTAGACAGAGACAGACACAGAGACAGACAAACAGATGACACGCAGATACTTAGATAGATGTATGGCTACATGGAGAGATAGGTGGATGGATGGATGGATGGATGGATGGGTAGATAGGTAGGTGGGCGGGCGGGCGGGTGGGTCGATAGGATGGGTGGGTGGGTAGGGAGGCGGGGGGTGGGTGGGTGGTTGGGTAGCCGGTAGGTAGGTGGGTGGGTGGGTGGGTGGGTGGGTGGGTGGGTGGGTAGGTAGGTAGGTAGGTAGGTAGGTAGGTAGGTAGGGTAAGTAGATAGGGAAGTAGAGAGGTAGAGAGGTAGATACGAGATCGACAGGTAGATAGATAGAGATATAGATAGAGATGAAGAGACAGACAGATATATAGCTAGGTAGGGTTGAATTGGATTTGGTTGGAGCAGCCCCCGTGCCCACTCCTACTACTCCTGGTCCTAAGCCGCATAGTGACTAAAGACTTGCACGCCGAAGTCGAGAAGTACTTAAAGCTACAGCCGGAGCACAGTGTTCGGAAGCAGATGTCGTAGAGCGCTTCGTTGTCCTTAGCGAGGCATGGCAGGCGGCCGCTTGTGGAGTTGTGCAGGATTTGGCCCGAACACATGAGGATTGCAAATTGGAAGTAGGGTTGCACCTACCTCATCTACCTCTGCACGCTAGCACGAGTGCTGACCCTTCCAAGCGGCCAGCAGAAAGGACTCATCGGAGTTCTCCACAAGCTGGTGAAAGCTCAGGACGGCATTGTACGGCTCTACCACCGTGTCGGAGACCTTGGGCGACGGAATCACCGAGAAGGTCTCCATGATGCGGTCGGGGTACCTCGGATTGCAAGCTGTGCGAGGGGTGACGCGACGGGGCCGCGCAGTGCTATCACCGGGGCAAATCGTAGGTTAGAGCGAGGATGAATCTGGAGTGTCTTTGACGTCAAGGATTGCTTTCTTGCTGCGCAGCACACTGTCGGCAAATGGGAGTGTGGGCAAACAGGTCGCCGGTCGCCCTCATCTCTTCTGCGTTTCAGACTCCTTCTGATCAAGACTTCCAAGATCCAACTCCCGAAGCCCAAGTGCCTAACCCTCAAATCAACGACCCAACGTGCAATCACGGGGCTCTTCTCGCACCTGATAAGCGTCCGGGGGTCAGGGGCGGGGGTGGGGGGGGGTGGGGGTCGGACTAACCTTGGCCCTAGGGTCGCAAACCGGAGGCCCAACTGCTCATGAAAACAGGGCAGGCGGATTTCGAGGGATCCCTTCTTGAACATCTGCACAGTAAAACATGAGAAGCACTTCCTTGCTCCTTTGCAGTCAACTCCCGCCTTGGAGATGAGCAGAGTGCCCATGCCAGCGCCGGTTCCGCCACCGAGGGAATGGCAGAGCTGAAAGCCCTGGAGGCAGTCGCAGCCTGCAGACGAAGCACAGCAACGGAGACCATTTGCTTCCTTTGCGAGGCTCCAGGGATCTGTGCTGGTTTTGTCAGGAAGGGACTGTCAACAAAAATCAGGCCGGGGATCAAGTCCTCGCCTTCTGCCTCCTTGCGCACGACATCGAGCACCGAGTCGATAAGTTCTGCGCCCTCGGGTGTGTGCGTGGACGGTAGAAAAGCACCCGCACCTTTACATTGGCTCTTTTTGCACTCATGGCCAACAGAAAGAAATGCTTTGTTTCGAAGACGAAACCTCAGAAGCTGCGGCAAACAGGTGCACAATCTCAGGTCGGGACCTCAGTGTAGTGACCTCAGATTGTTGAAACCCTGTGCATGCATACAGGGCCCCTAATCAAGTGCAGCCCCTGCTCGACGAACTCGAGCAACCGGGCACCCGACCCTTGGCCCAGTTGTTGCCAGCTCCTGAAGAGACATGCGACTGCCATCCGCTCGTGCGCCACACGCTGCAGTGGATGTTTGATCGTGTGTTGTGCATGCTGTCCTGTCTGACCAAAGACGAAATTGTCGGGACGGAAGAGCTGACCAAACGGCCCGGCTCGGACAGAGTCCATGGTTCCTCGCACGCATGAGGCTGCCGAAGCTACACACACACAGCCATGACACCAGGTGACAAACGCATCTCTTCAACAAGGCAGATTCGAAAGATCCGGCCTCGCCCTACTAACAACCAACAGTGAGTGCATGGGCCTGGCTCAAGATCCATCAGGACCGCACGAGGAACGTAGCGTCCTCCTGTCGCCTCGTTGAAGTACACCTGGGTCGCGCCCGCTACTGTATGATTGTATGCACTGCAAATACCACATGCACCCCCACCCGACCTGTCTAACGTACCCTAAACCTGTTCAGGCGCGTTGATGCGCTCCAGCTGCAGGTCGGAATCCCCATGGTAGGTTCCTGTGGGGCTGACACATCGGACTCGGGAACATGCTTGGGCTTCTGATGCAAGCTGCCGGTCATGATGACATGTAGCATTGCTTTTTAGATACCCGAATGTCATGCCTGCAGCAGCAAATCCCTCACATACGACTCGTAGGTAGACAGCCGTCATTTGGGTTGGGTAGTTGTCTGTCTATGCCTGTGGGATCGATTCCGTGCTCGTCAGCGATGACCTGCACACAGATCTTTCTGTCAAAGCTTACTCGTGGCAGCAAGGTGTGCCACGATCGCAGCAAAGCTGCTCACATAAGCCGCACGCGTAGACACGTAGACCCGGCAATAACCCTGGAACTAAAGCAGTCTCGTAAGTTGGTCAACGGTGCAAAGCTGCAGCACGGTTTCATCTCCACCGGGATTCACGTTGCCCTCCTCTTGTGGAATGATGTCGGGAAACTCTAAGGTTCACCAAAGTCCAGGGCACACTTGACCAGGATGTCTCTTTTGCTTGCGCTCTCCCTCTTTCAACAGTCGGTGGAGTCCCCTCTGAGCAATGTGGGCACGTGACTGGCCGCCTCTGCATCTCTGTCTGTCTGTGTGTCTGTGTCTTTGTGTGTGTGTGTGGCTCTCTCTCTGTTGCTTGATTGCACAGCGCATGGTCACACACACACACACACACTCCCTCTCTCGCGCGCTCTCTCTCTGTCGCTCTCTCTCTCTCTCTCTCTCTCTCTCTGTGTCTGTCTATTTCGCCATCCCCAAGTCATTCTGCAAAGCGGCAAACCTCCATAAACTTCCATATAATTTCATGTGATGTAACAAGTAACTGCGTGGTGGTGGTAGCAGCAGCAGCAGCAGCAGCAGCACCGGAGCCTCCCAGAACTTGGCACCGATCTGGTTGCCGCCTGCAGAACTTTCGCTCACCCTCAACAGCAGTTGCAAGAGCAACCGTACCAGGACATCACTGATCACAGAAAGACACAACTCTCCGAAATGCCTTGGTAACCAAACGCTCAGTTCAGCATTGAACCCTATCCGGAACCCAATACTGATTGGCGACTGGATGCAACAACGAATCGCACCGAGGCACACTGGCCGCCCTGGACGTGCACGAGCTCGCGCATGGCTGCGAAAGAAAGCACAAGGGGGACAGCAAGGAGGTCGCTGGAGACTTTTCGGAGGCGCTGCGGTCGAGCATGCACTGCTCCTCTCCCACGGCAAGGTAAGCGTGGTACTGCTGACGACTTAAATCAATAAGTGACATCAACCGAACCTCACTTCATGTCTTGCAGACACTACATGCAGGAGAGGTGGTTTCAAGCTTGCTTTCTGATCCGTCATCACGCCAACTGTGGTAAAAGTTGGTACGACGTCATGCTCGACCCGGCTTCAAGATCTTCTTGAATGCTTGCCAGGAGTGAATTCCCCGGGCTGCGCACTCTTGCAGCAGCGTGGCATTCCAGGTCATCATCGGTCTATACAGTATGGCACCGCGATCATGGCTCGGCGATGCTTCACGCCTATCCATCATACTCACCCTCCTCTTCGTCAAACTCACCTGCAAGACTTGCCACTGCTGCTTCACGAGCCGTCAAAATGGGGACATAGAAAACGGAAGGGCGAGAGATCCCAACCCCCCCCCCCGCCAACAACGACAGGAACAATGCATCCTCGCACACTACAATGCTTCGAAGTGATCGCCCACCTTCTTCCTCGGCGGTGGCATCCTGACCAGAAAGGCAAACTCGTTCAAGCTTCGGGATGTTGCAGCTTAGGGCTTCCATTTGCAGCCTACCAGAGGACATGAACGCAACACATCCTGCGGTAACATTCCACCGTAGCAAGCAAGCAAACAACCAAGGACTACCTCAGTAAGGAGGCTCAGGCAGGCTTCACCATTCTGGTAGGGTCTGCCTGGTACTGCTGATACTCCGACACCAGGTCGTTCATGTTCGACTCCGCCTCAGTGAACTCCATCTCGTCCATGCCTGCTCGAGGTTTGGGTTTCAGTGCGGAGTTTGCTTGGGGGATTGGGTGAAAGAATTGGCATTCTCAGAGAAACCTCGCCATACCAAGGCTAGGCTTCTCGGCAGATGAGATCGGAGAATCAGAGGCGAGGACCAGGTGACCAGGTCTTGCTAAGAGATCAAGAAGCAGGGCGCAAGTCTGGAAGGGATGCCGGCCACACAGTGCACAGACGAGCAGGACAAGACTAGAGCCGACCCCTCAAAGCCTTCGCCGGTGTACCAGTGCAAGAAAGCTTTGCGCCGGAACATGGCCGTGAAGTACTCCGCCACCCTGTCATCCGCTGAGGTTTGGTTTTTGCAGGCGGGTTCCCTGACGAACTCTCAGGATTTGGGGCTGAGCATCATAGAACGGCGCTACTTGTTTTCAGGACGCAGCACTCACCTGCGCGAGCCATGGCAGTTTTTTCTGCGAATCCGTCACCCTTCCCTGTTTCTCCCGGTTTGGGACAGGCACCTCTTGAACATCTCCTGGATGGCAGTCGAATTTCCGGCAAAGGCGACTGCCATCTTGAGACCTGAAGCCGCGGAATGTGAAAGAGTGTCCTCTGCATCTCTGCCTTGTCTGCCCTCTTCCCTTACCACTCCGAGATTCTCCTTCGTCGTTGGTGGTGTCTTTGATATCTTTGGATTGCTGCGCTTTCACAACTGCAACAATACTCATGCCGCTTATTTAGTTGTGTGGAACGTACAAGTCAGTCATGCATGGTATTATCAAAACATGGCGCCCAAACACCCCTCCCACCTACACCGAAATGCGGCCGCACAGTACTAGAAGTGAGTAGGGGTCCTCCCGAAATATCGAATTCATCACTTCAGCCCGGGCCCGGTGCATGGTTGCACAGCGTGGCAGATTCGAGTGTTTCTATTCGGATGCAGATCTCAATAAAGGAAAGCTGCGGGGTAGAGGACTTGTACTTGGCACTATCATTGCCACGTTGGAGCAGTCCGTGACTGGTCAAGCACGGCTTTACACCAATCTGGCTCCTGCAAGAAGGACCTCCTCTACCACTACGATGTGAAACGAAACGGGTATTCCGAATTGTCAGAAGTGCGCATTCTGCACCACCTGACTTGCTGCCAAGTGTCCTTTTGGAGGGATGTCGCAAACAGACGCCTTGATGTTGTTGGGGATCCATTCCTTGGCAGACAGCCATCTTGCGCCGCTCTGAGCAGGGTCTTTGCAGATGGAGAGCAGGAGCACATCACTTGAGCTGTTCACTCGGGGTTGGACGTACGGCATGCATCCTAGCACTCAGAAGAATGAAGGGCCAGCCAAGACTCCACGAAGTAGGAGGAATTCTTGTTTTGGACATTCAACATTTGCTCATCTACCTGCAGGTAGGTTTGTAGGGCAAGATGACGCTGTCTTCACCCCATCGCACACTGAGAGGATCAAGCCCTCAAACTCCGAAGAAGGAGGGCATGCGAATCAGCGAAAGCAGCACACTTGTACTGCAAAATCTTCACGGGCCAAGGCAGGAATTTTAAAGCCTTTGGTGGTTTGGAAAGAGCCCCGAACCGGATCGCGTAAGGCTCATAAAAGGTTACAAGGAAGGCATCAAGCCGAACCCCCCACACGGTTTGACTGCAGATTTCCGGCAAGTCGGATTGGCAGGCTTTCTTGCAGGCCTCCTTCGTGGACATGCGCCCACGGAAAAGGGCTGCAGCAGTGAGGTAGCGGCCGTGGCGTGGGTCCGCGGCGCACATCCTGGGGCATGTGATGACTAATGGGCTCAAGTTTCTTGTGATGCAGGAGGGTGTACCACTTACTTAGTTCGGGAACGCAACAGTGGGTTGGCCGTCTGGTCGGAGTCTCCAACATGAAGAAGTTCTGAATTTAATCTCGTGAAGTTTCTGTCCAGGGTGTACGCTGTATTATCGAGACAATGCCCATATCTAAATTGAGGCCTTGAACTCATTCTTCAATCTCATGGCCGATGTGGGAAGTCTGTCCGAACCCTAAACCCCAAAATCTAAACCCACAAACCCTTAGAGTACTGAACCTTGATTCTTGAACAATACAACCGCAACCCTTGTAATAAACGCTGTGACATTAACCAAAAGTCCCAAAATCCGAAATCTTAAACCCCGTATAACAACCCTTATGATACTAATCTAAGACCCTATACCCTAAATCCCAAAGCCGCATAGCAGCCCTTATGATACTGACCCCTAGACCAGCCCCAAACCCTAATCCCTTATCTTACTAACCCCGCAAAAAGATGCAAAAAGTGTCTAGCAACCTTGCTCAGACCCAAAAATCCTAAACCATTTTCGCAACCCGTATGATACTAACCCCAAAAGCCCTCCGTTAGACCAACCCCAAACCCTTACAGCAACCCCTATGATAGCAACTCTTAAGAGCAAAGTCGCGGCTGGAGAGATAGGGGAAACTCAAATATAAAAAGTCAGAGCCTCCTTCACGAAATAATCACGCAGGTGACCCGCATAAAACGGAAATCCCAAAAAACCCAATGAAAAACCCTATTAAGATACACGCATCAATCAAAGTCAGGCCCCTGGTCCTTGACAGCAGGACTCCACTAAAGCCCATGAATAGCCCAGACTAGCACAATACCCTTTTATCACGGAACAGACCTTAAATTATAGGGGCCTTATATAACATTATGATTTAAGGTATATTCCTTAATTAAGGGGTCTTGGGCTCCCTGGGGACAGACTTTCTCCACCGAGTTTTGGTGCGTCAATCCCATGCCAAGCCAGACCTCCCCAGGCAGCATTTGTAGCAACATCTATGCAACGGCCAATCCTCAATGTACGGCGTGCTTGGCAGTTCCACGTCGCGTAGGATTGATGCACAGCAGGTGGGAGCTTGCGAATATTAGGAATATCTGACGTGCACTCAATATGCACAAGGCCGAGCTTTACTTCCTGAGAGAAAGGCCCCTAAACCCTAAACCCAAAACCCTAAACCGATGATTGCAGTAGATGATGCCGCCACAGCAGAGTGACAGAGCTCATTCCGCCACATCGACATGGGACTACGAGCGGTGCTCTTGCCACGCCTAATCATCGAACTTTCGTGTCACCATCGGCCAGCACGAAATGGCGAAACGGTTTCCCGGCACGATTGTTGGCAAATTGTTGGGCATCGCACAAAGATCATGAAGCTTGCCAAGCTTTGATTTGTCGGGGCATGTTCGTTGCAGCACGTCTATCTTTAATCACACTGACTCCCATCTTGTGCGCTAGGATGAGGTGGTGGGTAGACATCAACTTCAGTTGTTGCATCACTGCATCAGGGTACGTTTGAGACGCCCCATTGACCCCGCAGAGCTCGCTTGAAACGGCGCGGTTTCTCCTCCTGCAAACGCACCCGTTTCAGAACAGCCGCAGGTGCAGGGTTGGGAGGTGCCACATACGGCTCCGCTGCATTCCGCCCTTGCGCTGGGGACAGGTCCCATCCAAGCAAGGGCGGGGGCCCAGGAACCAACAGTGAGCGGCTGGTTGCATTGAGAGGTCGAGAGCGGCTGCAAAACCCATCGATACCTGCCTGTCGTAACAGAGATACGGGACAAAAGGAGGGCTCGGAAGATTACAGGTCACTTTGGCGATGACATTGGTGACTTCGTGCAACCCTTTTGAAGGCCTCTGCCTGCTGGACAAGATTAGTTGGAGATTGGTCCATCTTCCACAACAGGCATCCCGTGAATAACAGAAGTCGATTACCAATTCAGCCAAATTCAGCCCATTTGACATCAGCGACCGTCATCGGATTGTCGGCACAAGTGGTCATGCACCACTTGAGGTATCAAAAGCACCACTGCGCCGCATGTAAAGTATTGAAAAGTTTCCAACCCATACAGCCAAGACTGCCGAAACTATGGGGTGACCTGACGCCAGATAACCGGCTGCGGCGCTGCATGAGTTTTTGCCCTCACGAGGCCAAACATAAATCAGGGTAGACATGTGGAAACTGCACTGCTGTCAAAGCCTCAACTGCAATAGCTTGATTTCACCGATCTGGCTGCCATGTTCCTTGCCATGGCCGTTTTTGTTGCCTCAAGGCCTCAAGTCCAAGATGTTGATATACATGACTTGGATAGCTCGCACCAACTTGGCGTACTGCTTGTACTGGTCGGCAAGAGCATGTGCTTGACTGAGCCCGCGGTTGCTGTGGCCAACTTGTCTGCAGCATCGTTGCATGCTGTGTGAAACTGCTCCTGCTCAGAATGCTTTTCGCCATGCGCTGCGACCTTGGTAAACTTGAAACAGCAGGGCGTGCTGAGATTTCTGCTCAGAGGAAAGCTGTTGTTGCAACTGTAGTTTTCGAAGAAAAACTCCACATCCTGCAGCCCGCAGCTTGGGAAACTGCGCATGCCGGCAGGCCCCATCCGACGTGGTAAAAGCGCAAAGCCATCGCGAACGATTTCGCAATCATTGTTGCTCCAGGTTCGTGCCTGCAGCGGCCGTCTCAGGGACATAACTTCGTACAAGCCACTCTTTTGTCTCTGCATGTATGGGGGCCACCCCACAGTGAGCCAAGCAACCATGCATGAACCACCGCTGCTGTTCGGTTGTCATGACACGTACTGGCGAACAAGCTCCCAATGCGGACAACTCCAGAAGAGATGCCAGCCGTCCTCCTCCCCTTGTTGGCGCAAAAGGTGCGCCATGGTGTCTGCACAACCTTGGCAATCCGCAAAGGGGTAGTGGGATTGGGGTCGCGCTGCAAAGTACGCAACAAGCCAACCGTGCTGTCCCACATGCTGGCCAGCATTGTCCTTTCTTGTCCCTTCCGTAGGATTCTCGCAACTGATGCTCAAAGATGTTCTGAGCCAAGTCGCAATGGAAAGGAAAGCTGCACGAAGGGTAATGCGGGTTGAAGTTCGTGCAGCGGAACCAACGCTTCCGGAATCCATTCGGCATGATCGAAATTTCCTGGGGTTGCGAATTGGCGAAAACATGCCTAAACCCTAAAGCGTATAACATAGCAAATCACACCAGAAAAGAGACGAATACGGGAGAGACCAGATTCCCATCTGCAGGAATGTTCGTGGTATTCCGGGCACTCATGATATGGCCCCGGATTCCCCGGTTGCACATTCGCCTCACACTCGAGGGGCACATAATCAGCAGGTGCTCCAGCGGCACCGGCTTCAGCTCCTCGTCTCGAAGCTCCTGTTGCCGGTGCAGATCCTGTTGCTCCTGTTGCCGGTGCAGATCCTGTTGCTCCTGTTGCCGGTGCAGGTGCTCCTCCTGGCGGTGCTGCTTCTCCGGCCCCAGCGGCTGGAGGGGTTGCAGGCACAGGAGGTGGATATGTGCAGACTGTATCGACGTCGGGGTGCTGCTGCTTGAGCATCCATGCTTGATGTAGTTTGGTTCTGGCAGCTTCATCCCGAACAATCTGACATCGCCATAAACCGAGAGGTTCATGAGGCTGGATCGCCTCTATATCGCAGCGGTGGCCCTTGAAAAGAATCGCCAGGGTAGTGTCCATATTGGGCCGTATGGGCTGGATCGCCTCTATATCGCAGCGGTGGCCCTTGAAAAGAATCGCCCAGGGTAATGTCCATATTGGGCCACATATTGTAGTACTCCCCTTGTTGGCCGAAAGCCATGGCCGGAGAGGCAAACGTATCCACCAAGTAGACTTGAGCCTGTGGCGTGCCAGGTACATTCTGCGCATGACCGTGATCGGCCGCTGACGTCTCTCATCTTGCTTGCCTTTGGGAAATCTCCTCCGAAAGAAAGAAAAGCACCAAGAAGCTTACCATAGAGGGTTTTGCTTTTGCAAGTGGGCCCGGAGCTCTGCATTCAGCAACCCTCCCGTGCCCGGCCCTGATGTGCTGGAATATTCACAAAGCGAACACGTCACCGCCATAGGCGCAGTTGAAATAGTCACATGCATAAGTCTGCTTTCAGACTACTCCAAGAACATCACTGAGGCATCGCATTGGAGGCCTGAAACATTTGTCTGCAAAACTTCCCGACCCCGCCCGCTCGAACACCGACACCGGAGCCGCCGAGGTTGATGATGTCCGAAGGCGGGGCACCGTGAGATTTCACAACCACTCCCCAGTGAGCATTCGCACCTTTGCCGCGCCTCGTACTCAGTGGCTGCTGCACCGCCGAGCTGAATGCCTCCAACAGGATTCGCAGAATCGCATCGAGCGGAATCTTTGCCGCACTTTGCCCAACATCCATTTTTGACTCGGTGGTGGCTTTCGCGCGTGCAACATCTTCCATCCCTCCTCCTGTTTGTCCTCTTGCACCCGCAACTTAAAAGTCACTCGGTTCGCGAGGGCTTCTGATCTGGGACATGGCGTACCACAAGGCTTGTCCTTGAACGGTATCCACACCTCAGTCTCTCGGTCCCATCGCTTGCCAGCATCGTCATACGCATAGGTGTCTGTGAAGATGTGCTCCGCGCCGGTCTCTTTTCTCATCTACTCTGCGACGTTGGCTGCCAAGGTAAAAATAGCTCGAAAGATGTGCTGCTGTCCTCGCAACTCACCCTCGGCAGTCTTGATGTTGTTCACCGCGACATCTAAATGAGCCGCGTTGCAGCCTGCTCCCACGCTTGTTGGATACGAGCTCGCACGCAACGTTTGATCCCATATTTAGCTTGCTTGACTGTCCGCCACAGCGTGCGCTTCTGCTCCTTGTCATTGACACCGCGCGGCTTCCTGAAGGCCTCTTCAACTTCGGATTCACAGAGTTGCTTATAGAACTTGGTCAGGAGTTTATGATCACTGTGTTCACGTAGTGCTCTTTTACCCAACCTATGAGCTTCGCAGTGCACCAAACAAAAGCATCATGCAGTTGAGACGTTTTCTCATGCTGTTGTCGTTTCCCTGACGGTCTTGTATCCTGTGATCTGCATGGACACCGAGGTGACTGAGTATGCCATCGCTGCTGCTAGGACTAGCCGCCGCCAGGAGAATTGGCTCGTCTTGTGTGCGCCCTCTCAATGATATTGATCGCCTCATTGTCCGTCTCAGCCAAGTAGATCCCTGCATGGCCCTGCTTGGGCGCGACCGTGAGCACCGGGAAATTCATGGCATGACGTAGCCGTAGGTTCTCTTTATGTTCTCGATCTCTTTCCTTGACTTTATCTTTCTCTTTTCTTGAGTACTCGTGGAGAGAAAGTAATCGAGGAAGGCTTGTTGATGTAAGTGAGCGCCCATTCCTTCAAAGCCTGAGACCCTAAACCCTAAATCCTAAACTTCCTAAACCCTTACCGCAACCCTAAACCTTAAACCCTCATAATACCAGCCCCTAAGACCCTAAACCTAAAGCCTTTTAGCAACCCTCACGATACCAGCCCCTAAGACCCTAAACCCTCATACTAAGCCCTAAGATCCCAGCATGCGTGGCTTTTGGCCCCAAAAACCGTGAATCAGCCGATCAGCCAATCAACCCTAAACCAGATCAGTCGATCGGCCGATGTGCAGTTTGGAAACCCACTTTCCGAGCACAATGTAAGATCTAACTCCCCCGGCCGAGAGGCATGTTCTTGGCGTCGAACATTTGCTGGGTCAGCTCCGGGACCTTCCAGCCAGTGCTCTTACGGTGGCTTAGAGTTTGAGAGCTTTGGGTTTTAGGGTGGTTTATTTTATCACCTCTTTTCCTTTCCGCTTCAGGTCGGGAATACCATGCTGGTTGAGGTGTGTACCCGGGAGTGCGACTAGACCACAGGGATTCGAACCACCAACTACCCACATCTATGCACCCCCACTCCCGGATATCTCAGCAAGCTGCAGCTACTCAGGTATGCGCTACCATGACCAGCCAAAGATCTCTCAACACAGCTACACTCTAAGCGACTCTACTAACACCCACAACAGGTAGCGCAGCCTTGACAGCCACATGCCCAGGAGCTACTCATGCTTAGCAGCCACATCACAACACTCCCCTACCTTGGTCACAACAGCACTGACCTAACTCCCTGGCTGCTCGCACGGGCTCGGCTGTTGCTGATATCTTACATGTTGTCGACCACGGGGTTCCGGACTCGCGTTTTAGGGCTTAGGATTTCCTGAAGCCTCCGGTTGGGTTTCCGCAAAAGTTACTGTTTTTGTGGATTCTAAGATTCTAAGGGCTAATGCTACTGTAAGAGCTCTATATTGGGCTTATTCTAAAAGGGGTCGTGAGGGTACTTCAGGGTTTCGGGTAGTCGCCTGCAGCCTATAGACTGCAACTATCTGGGTCCGGGACGGTCAGGGCCCGGTACTGCTGCGACCCGCGGGAGGTCAGCGGCGCAAAGCCCGTCATGAAGAAGTGCAGGCCTGTGGCCAGGATCTCGTGACGATCGACAGGTTTGGGCTTCGGTCTTCGGATGGTCTTCGGCATCGGTGGGATTGAACCATAGAGGGCTCTGGGAGGGATCTTGCTCAAACGGAGTATCATGAGCAGGCAATGGCAATTGTCTGCGTTCCAGGCCACGTGGGAAAGGCACCAGGTTGACAGCGATCTTACGCAAATCGCAGTTCAACCTCGGGAAGCTACGCAGGAATGTGCAAGTGTGGTAAGACAGCTACAAGTATGGCTACAAGCATGGGAGCAAGCTGCGGTCGAGTTCGGGGCCGGAGGGTGTACGTAAAAGCCTACCCCAGGACCCAGGAGGACATCAGACAGATCCCAGTCGCTGACCCGGGAAGCGCAAGCAGCAGGTCACTCCGCTCATGGCCGCAGACACCAGGTGGTTCAAGTCGCCATACGTTGGTGTCGTCAGCTTCCTGGGCAGCAACTCACTAGTGAGGCGCACGGCGCCTGCGAGCCGACATTGTCTCGGGCCACTAGCACCCTGTCCCACTATGTCTCGTTACGCTACGGCACAGATGGCACGGCAGGTCGGATCTTCAACCTGGGACATCTTGAGACATGCCGATTCCGATGGCTGGATGTTCCTCTGTGTGTGTGTGTCGGTCGCGATCGAAGGCATCGCTGCAACAGAACCTAAAGCAACGCGCACCCGACGTCATAGTCTCATTCGTAAACAGCTTGCATAAACATCCGAGCTTTCACTGCCCCCTTGTGGCCCTTTCAAGCCCGACAAGCTGGCCAGTTCTGCCCCGATCCCACGGCCGGGAGCATTGCAGACTTTCAGATACATCCCTTCAGGCACCCCGGCATATCTCCCCGTATGAGCTGGATTCGCAGCAAAACCGCAGGAACAATCATGCTGTGTTCGTGCGTCGAGTTTACATGTTCCCTGCCAGTCATAGAGCCGGAGGGCAGCGTCCGGAAGCAGATGTCATAGAGGGCCTCGTTGTCCTCAAGCTTTTGGGACTGGAAGCGTAAGATTGCACAGGTCCTCTTCAGCCCAAAGCTCGAAACGGCCCTGCCCAAAGCCGCCTCAACGCCGTCAAAACCCAATATCTAACATCTGGGTCAGTAGGCTGATACACAGGCCTGAATCCGAAAGCGGGTCCCAAGGCTCTGCCTGTCGCATAGCAGACTTAGTGACTAGACCTACTGTGCGATGGCAGCATATGGTATGTACCAATTGTATATCATCCCTACATAGTATTTCTACTCGTAAAAGGGTGCCTTAAAATCTTAGTGTGCTAGTTTTTATTGGGGGCGAGTGGCCAGCAGGAAGGACTCGTCGGAGTTCTCCACCAGCTGGTGAAAGCTCAGGACGGCATT